GAGCGAGCCCTTTCGAAAGGAAAATACATTTTCCAATACCGGTATATTAACTGTCGTATATTACATCTCGTCAGGGCAAAACATTAAGTGGTGAAGATTCTTAACGCTTAACCTTTTGCATCACTACAACACCCTTAACAAAATAACTGAGTGGATAACTAACATGACAACATAAATCGCCGAGTTTTGATGAACCCTTGGAACCTGCAGGTTCAAATATTGTATATTGTATAACCATATCCGGCCCTACTCCGGCCCGACGCCGGGCCAGAACAGGTTCATGATATCAGCCTTAATTCAACCTCAACTAAGCCACATCTTTCATGAGCCATATTTGACCCACATTTTTTTTAAAAAAAGTCTCAAAAACAACTGTTATAAAAATATGTTTATTGTCATAATTTGCGAACCTCACATATAACTCCACATACACTGGAAAAATGCACTTTTCTTTATTTAACAGTGAACACAAAGTCCAAATTGGGATGCAGCTTCCTCTTGAACGGTATTTTTCTATCCATCAAATTGTAGCGCTCTCCATGCACTCTTTTCTTCTCATGCTTTCCTTCCTGTCACCATCCCGATCAGGAGCCAGATGTAGCCATCTTGTGATTGTGACATCAATTTCCTGGTCTGAGGCCCAAGACGTTAAGGTGTTAGGTCTCACAGCGGCTGTTAGAACTGTAAGAAAACAAGAATGGATAGTGTGTTCGGAAAACAAACATTTGTACATGTCATGAACAATGAATGGTCAGTAAAAATAACCCTTGAAATTTCTTATAATAATAAGAATAATACATTTCATTTATAAGCGTCTTTCAAGACACTCAAGGGCACTTTACAACCAAAACTAAACTAGGTGTGACGCTGTGGGGCAGAATATTTGCCACCAAAAACTCAACGTGAATAACTTTTGAATAGTTTCTACTAAATTTGAATTACATGAATTGAAGTTAAGTGTATGGAAAATGGATGTACTTGTATATTTTACTCTGAATCATATTGAATAACTGAATCTGAATTGTACAATCTGAATTTTAAACGAGACTTTTTTCTTTGAAACTGTATTTGATCCTCACTGAAAATTAAATTCTGTTTATTTTCATATTCAGTCTTACAAAT